TCTCTCTCTCTCTCTCTCTCTCTCTCTCTCTCTCTCTCTCTCTCTCTCTCTCTCTCTCTCTCTCTCTCTCTCTCACAGAAGAAGAACAGCAGAGGGAGGAGAAGAAGAAGAGGCAGAAGAATAAGACGAAATGGAGATGGAGGAAAGAATCAGGGGAGGAGATAAGAATAACTTGGAGACTCCTCTCAGCTGCTCTCTGATACTGACCAGCTTAAAGACGCCGTCTTGAGCTGTGCAGATAGGAGCGCCCTGTAGACGAAGCTGCAGCGATGGGCCCAGGTGAGGCGGCAGATAAGTCCCCATGCTCCTGACCTGCCCCCTGATCTACTTGCTCCACTACCTCTAGCCTAATCCTCCAACATCTAGCGCTGCTCCAGCAGCATAGCACTCTACTCCCAATGCTGCATACCAGAAATGATGGCGCCCCAGCTATATATAGTGGTGCCCCTACTGGATGCAGCATCCTGGGCCATCCGATCGAAATGTCGATGGAAGGTCCAGGACGCAGGCCCAAATCTTGGTCCTCAAAACGGCCTGCCTGGGTCCCTACCGGACATCCAGGCCCCTCTGCTGAGCCAGAGGTATTCTCTCAGTAGGACCAAAGCGTTGGCTGGACCCAAAACGTGATTCAAACGAAATAGAAGTGCGCTGGGCCTGAAAACGGGTGCTGGGCCAAACATGACCCCTGGTTCAGACAACTACCGGTCTGGACAAAATGCTGAAACGATGCGTCCAGACCGGTGAAACCTGAATCAGACAACTGGACTGAGAATCAGACAAATGGACTGAGAACAAGGAGAGTGCTGAGAAGCCTACGTCGTCTTTGGTTGTATTTTATAATGTTCCATCATTGTCTGAGGACTTTTTGGTGTGCCTCCTTTTGTTTTTTATCTTTTGGTTTTGGTTTTCCAAGGAGAGTAAACAACTTCAATGAGCCGACAGTTTAAACAGCTGCTCATTAATACATAGACAGCACACTTCATCACACACAAGAGTGGAAATCCAAACCTGAGAAATGAGAACTTCAGAAAATAATTGGAAAGCCAAGGCTTATACAATGAGTTTGTCTGTACAAGCTGGGCAGCGATGGCAGCCAGCATCAACAACCAAGAATGAACAGAAAATGCTCGGAAAGCCAAGGCTTATACAATGAGTTTGTCTGTACAAGCTGGGCAGCTATGGCAGCCAGCATCAACAACCAAGAATGAACTTGCTTTCCTACTTTCTCTCTCTGGTGACCCTGAGGCCTCTCTTCCTCTCTGAATGTCCTCTGTGCTTCTTTTCTCTCTCTCTACTACGACTATGGCGCCCGGTTTCTGTTGATTACTGCTACTCGACTGCCTCGCTCCAGCCTCACTCAATGTTTGGTTGCACAAGATGCAGTGTTGTTCGGCAACACGAGTGAAAAAATTTTGTATGCGATGCTTCAGTTGCCCAACCTCGGAGCATTTCGGACCAGCACCCTCTGGCTGTGGCCAGCCTTTGACAAACCCAAAATGTTCACCGACTTTCTTGGCCCTTCCGCTGCTGACTGGATTCTATTGGACTACTAACCTACTGGATATTTGGATGTGCAGAGAAGCTCAGTCTCTACACATTGGCACCATCAGCCCTCTCTGAAGTCGAGTGCAGGAGTACCATAGCGAGTCCAGCCTGGGTCGAGTAATCAGTCCAGTCCCAGGTAGAGTTGCGCGCAAGCAGGGTTCGGCAGTCTAGTTCAGTCGTCCAGCCCAGTCCAGTCCAGTCGAGGAAACGTCAGCGGCCCAGGGTTCCAGGGAGGCCATGGAATATCCCAGAAACATTGAAGGCTGGGAAACTCAAGCCGGCCAGGCGCTTGGTGTTGCATACTCGTGAAACACAGTCATAAGTATGGCGCAGATTCCCAGAACCGACCAGATAATACAGAGTTAATACAAATGCAAGCGGAAGTCGTGAGATACCTTGGACTGACTCAGACCTGACTCGGACTGCAATCAAACACTCCCAAACATTCATGAGGGTGTGAATGCCCTGGCCTCGAGAATAGACGAAGGGCCAGGGGCTGAGATCATACACGGACGAAGGGAGAGAGAGAGGAGACACAAAGGAGGAGGAGAGGGAAGATGACGCCAAGTCAATGTTTCCAAAGATAGTATCTTGAACTGTCAGAAGTGACGAAAATCCGAAATGTCAGGAATGACAAGTCTCACAATATCCCAGATATCGATCTCACATGCCAAGTACATCTCCGGAAGGAAGATGAATCAGATCCCCAAATAGTTCTCAACTCGTAGTCCCAATGTCGCTGTCTCAGATACCATCAGAATTCGTAACCATCTCCCATACTGCAGTAGTCCCGTAGGAGGAACCCAGAAGTAGATTGAGACTGAGAAGGTAGGGGAGAGAGAGAGAGAGAGAGAGAGAGAGAGAGAGAGAGAGAGAGAGAGAGCTCGGGCGGAGGAACAGAGGGAGAGAAGGCAGAGCCTTCCTCGCGGTACCTGACTGGTAGCTATGGTAGCTATGGCGCGGCAGGGCCGCTGCGCTGTTCCTCTCGCTGCTGCGCTCGCTGTCTCCTGGCTCTCTCGCTAACGCTGATGCGCTAATCTCCTTAACGCTGCGAAGCTGCGCTAATCCTGAAGACTAACTCTTGTTAATTCTAACTCACCGGACTGAGGCTGGTACCCAGCATTTTTGTAGTGTTGGGCCGGCCTCTTGCTTACTGGTACCTGGCGGCCTGGACCGTTGATCTGAATCGACGGTCCAGATTCAAACTGGGTTTGGTGCCAAAACGTGGTAGCCTCTAAACCGCTGCTGGTTGGTCCTGGCTGGACCCGTATTGGCCTCTGGCCGGTTGGGCCTAAACGTGCCCTGCCTTAGGCCTATCTGGGCCTGGTTTGATCCGTCGTCCCCTTAGGCCTACCTTGCCTACTAGGAACCGGGCCCTAACTGGGGCCCGTGTGGCTCAGTATGCCACACACTCCCCCCCTTGAAAGACCGAGCTAACCGCGAGGGCGAAGCTGTCTGTCCGATGTCCGTACAGGGCGGGCAGGTTGGGCAGCTTCCTTAGCAAGTCGCTGTTTCTCGTAATGCGCGAAGATGAGGGGTGTTGTCGCCTTCAGATCAGCTCTTGAAATCCAGCGTGTGTCGTTCAGATCGCATTGCTTGAATGTAACGTTGTACTGCATCGGCTTGTTGCCATGCTTGCGATGCGTGAGAACGTGGTCGACCTCCTGATGACCATCCATGGAAGGAGGGTCATGTGACCGTCTCTGCCCGGGAAGTCCCCTGCGGAGGCTGGAGTGTGAACCGCCAGCTTTGAAGCATGAAAGATCGGGTGGACCGTCAAATGCGGGGGAATCTCAACGATGAACGATGGACCCGCGGGGTCGCGCCAACTGCTGAAGTGACCATCCATGGTCCAAACCACTTAGGGAGGAGCTTGCGCGATACGTCCTGCTCGAGCGCGAATTCCTCGGAGGCGACCCAGACTAGGTCGCCAGCGCGAATTGGACATGGGATGTGACGCTGGTTCGCTTGCTGCTGCATACGGACCTGAGCCTTTTGCATGTTTGCGCGGGCTTTGGCCAGCAGTTCCCTGAACTTCCTTGTAGAAGCGGGGGAGCAAGCGGCGTCTATATCGGCAGCCCGTGGGAGCAAAATGTCTGCGAAGATACGTCCTTTCCGTCCACCATTGTGCAACTCGAATGGAGTCACGCCGATCGCCACGTGCACCGAAGTGTTGTAGGCGAACTCGATGTCGGGAAGGCGGTCAACCCAGTCCTTCTGATCCGGGCGGATTAGTGTGCGGAGCATCATCTGCGCAGTATGGTGCGCATGTTCCGTTTGCCCATCTGTTTGAGGATGCCGTGCGAAACTCGGTTTCATGTTGGTGCCAGATTCCACCATGAGTGTCGTCCAGAAGGCCGACATGAAATGAGTGTCGCGGTCGCTGATGATGTCTTATGGAACGCCGTCGCTGCAAAACCAGCCGGTATGCAAAAGTTGTGCGAGCTCGGGAGTCGTCGCATGATACTTGCATGGAAGAAATCGAGCGTACTTGCTCAAACGGTCAACGACCGTGAGAATGCCATCATGACCAAGGCGACCGCGGGGAAAAGGACCAGTCACATCCATAGCAATGGAGAGACCCGGTGTCCGAGGAATCGACAATGGTTTCAGTTCGCGTAAGGGAGCTGATGGCGCCCTTTGTTCCGATGGCAAACTGCACATGACTGAATATACCAGTTGACGTCGCTGATGATGTCCGGTCAGTGAAATCGCTGGCGGAGTCGTGCTAGTGTGCGTGCGACGCCAAGGTGTCCCGCCAGCTGCGAATCATGGTATTCGCCAAGGAGGCGAGTGCGCAAGATGCGGTCTTCGGGAACACAGAACAAGTCCTTGCCTCGTGTATGAAGAAGCAAGTAGCCGTGGACAATGCGATAGTTGCTTGCCGGCGGTTGGTCCGATGATAAGTCCGCATATAGTGTGGAGAATCCCAAATCCAACTTGTAGCCGTTTACGAAGTGCTGTTGCAGGTTCTCGTCGAGGCCGAATGTGGAGTGCACCAAGGCGCAAAGATCAGGTCTTCGCGAGAGAGTATCCGCTGCCTTGTTCGAGGAACCCGGAATGTGCTTGGAGGTGAAGTCGAACTGGTCAATGAAGTACATCCATCGACCAATCGTGCTCAGCATGTCTTGCGTCTTGTAGTCCATCAACGGATTGTTGTTCGTTGCCTACGTGAATCGCTGACGTTTAGGGAGAAAGTGACGCCAACGCTTAAGTACAGTGACGAAAGCTAGGAGTTCCTTCTTCCTCGCATCATCAAGAGTGTTGATGGGCGGCACCTTTTGGCTGAAGTACTCAACCGCATGCCAGTCTGTGAAGTCATGCTGTTCCAAAACCGCGCCAATGCCATAACGGGAAGCGTCCGTAATCACTTTGGTGGGCAAAGTCGGGTCGTAGATGCTTAAGATGGGAGCTTGAAGCAAAGCCGTCTTCAGCGTGTGAAACGAGTGTCGGGCCTCGTCGCTGAACTCGAAGGGCACCAAGGGGGACTGAAGTCGCGACAATGGTGCAGCGATACGTTGGAATCCTTTGACGAAGCGCATGTAGTACGATGCCAAGCCGAGAAAGGAGCGGACGTCGGTAGTACACTTGAGGTCCGGCCAATCTTGAATAGCTTGCACCTTGTCCGCGAGCGGACGAATGCCTTGCGGCGTGACGTAATGGCCTAAGTACTCCAGCTCTTGCTGGGCAAACTCGCACTTGTCGCGGTTGGCCTTGTACTTGGCGATACGAAGCCGCTCCAAAACGGCGCGAAGGTGCTCGAGATGCTCGTCCAGCGTCCGGCTGTAAACCAAGATGTCATCGAGGTAAATGAGCGCGGTGCGATCCAGTAAGTCGCGAAATTTTGTCGTCATGGCCGCTTGAAAAGTAGCCGGGGCATTGGTGAGACCGAAAGGCATGACGATCCACTCAAAGTTCCCATATCGCGTCTTGAACGCGGTTTTGTACCGGTCTCTTGGCTGGATCTCAATCTGATGATATTCAGACTTGAGGTCAAGCTTTGAGAAGTACTTGGCGCCGCCTAGTCGCTCGAGAAGATCGTCGATCCGAGTAGTCGATGCACAAACGAAGGTCCTTGTTCTTCTTCCGGACGAAGAGAACTGGAGCACCGTATGGCGAACAGCTAGGGCGAATCCAGCCCTTGGCCAAGAGGTCGTCTAGTTGTGCCCGAAGCACTTGAAGTTCCTCTTCGCTCATGTGGTAGATACATCCGCGCGGAGGTACGATGTCGTCCTCGAGAGTGATCCCGTGGCATATGGGCCGATCCGGTATGACTCCGGCTGGAACTTGAAAGACATCCTCATAGCTGTCCAACAGCTCAATGATGTGTGGATCCGACGTATCCATCTTGGGCTGATCACCAGGTGGGAGGGAGTGAAGAAAACATATGCCCATCTCCTCGATGTCGTTCCGCCGGATGGATTGGCGAATGCTCGCCGTGGATACCGCGTCACAACCAATCGAAGGATGAGGAAGCGGCACCGTACACGGGACTAGTTCGCCGCGCCGATCACGAACGTGAACGGTGCGTCGATGGAAGTTCACCGGATGGTCTTAGCTTTGCAGCCACGACATGCCTAGGATCATATCGAACTTGGTGTCCAATATGTCGAAAGACACAGCCTCGCATGCTAGCGGGGCAAAGTACACGGGCACCGAGTCAACGCATCGGTCGATTGACTTTTGCGTGTGACCATCGGCCAACGTGACATGCGTAGGCTGACTTTTTCTTCGAACGCGCGGGCCAAGCTCGACGTGTGCCATGAAGTCTTGGCTGATGTAGTTGCGAGTCGCTCCACAATCGATCAAGGCACTGCAAGTCGCCTTTCCGATCTGAATGCGAATGTAGAGGAGCGGCGCGTCGTTGTCGACGTACCGTTGCGTTGCGCACTCGCGGTCGATCTTCGCAAGATAGTTACAAAGATCAACAACCGCTACTCCGTCGTCCGTCGACAGAGGTGGTATTGTAGCGTGCAAGTATTCGCGTAGATGTGCCATCAGGGCATTGCAATGCGGAGTTGGTAAAGAACCGGTGGAGGGAAGAGGCAACCATTGGAAGTCCTCAACCGTCAACTGGTCGAGTTCGTCAAGTCTCGTCCAAGTTGACGGGTCCTCCAATAGAAAAGCTGGCGAAGCAACCGGTTCGTTGTCCGACGGTGGAACTGCCGTGCATACACTTGAATCTTGCACGTGGAGAGGCTGGTTCTCGACAACGTAGTTCTCATACTCAATACGAGAACTTGCGACCACCGCGGTGTCCCCGGATGTGAGAGAGGCTGCTAGCAGCCGACTCCGGCGGACTGGGAAATGTTGTCGTTGCACGTCCCGCGGTGCTCAGTTTCCTGAGCCCGAACGCTTGACGTTTTCCTTGTTTGTCGAGGCAGGCACTGGTGATGTGTTTGGTGCTGTTGCACCACAAGCAGCATGACCATTTCTGTTGCAACTTGAACATTTCTTCGGTAATGCCGAATTTCGTCCATGGTGCATGTCGTGCTCCATCCGTCGACGCTGGTTTCGCCTTTTGTTTTCCCCCTCGGGGTCTTGAGCATTGTGGTGGTATCGCTGCCGCCACATCTCCATCACTTGATGTAGAAGCGGCTGCGTGGTCCTCACTTGTTCCTTGCTGGACTGCTGCTACTTGCGGCGTCCGTTGTCCCTTGCCTTTCTCCACGTAACTGGGCTGTTGGTGGACCTCGTTAGCCGCACGCCGGTTACCTTGTATAAGTTCTCTTGCTTCGGCGATCATGTCGTCAAAGTTCTTATACTCGAATGGGCTGCCGAGAGCAGCTGTCATGGCGTCGCAAGACCGGGCGAAACGCCTCGGATGGAGTCGAACGGCAGGTTCAGGTCCGGGGTGGCGACGAGTCTTTGCCTTTCCGTCAGCCATTCCCGCGAAGGTTGCTGGCCTTGGAAGATGTGGAAGATCTTGTTCAAGGCGTGACTCTTGTCGTTGTTCACCATGAACCGGGTCTTCCACTTCTTTTCAAACTCCTCCCACGTGATCTTCGTGTGGAGGGTGGCGATGGTACATTCGAGCGTGACGGCCATGTGCGTCATGAATGCTTGCGCCCCACCTATAAGTTGGAGGTACAGTGCGTCCATCCGCCGTAGGGGCAGAGTATGATGTACGTCGGCCTCCGCGTTGAAGACCATCCACCATTGCAGCGGATCAGTCTTATGGTAATCGTCGAACTTCTCGATCTTGAAGTTCGGCATCTTCCATTCCTTGGCGGCAGCGGTCGGTCGTTGGTCGACGTGGTCACTGAGCGTTTGCAGCAGATTGCTGGATGTCGACGCTCCAGCAAACTTGCTGATGTCGCCAAGGGATGCGATGATGTGATTGGTCCGCTCGTCGAGCTGTTTGGCTTGAGTGGCCAAAGTTGGGCTCTGTCTGAAACTGCACCGCCCGCTGACTCGACTGCGGACAGGCGTGCCATCCCGGGATCGACGGAGTCCTGCAGTCGGTCGTTGATGGCCGCTGTTGGCTGTCGGCGGCCTGCAGCATGCCGGTGTCGGCGTGCAGAGCAGTGATGTTCTGATCCATTGCCTTGAAGTTGCCTTCATGGCGGATGAGGACCTGCCGCATAGCCAACAGTTCACGTTGCTGCCAATTGCACGTGTACAACAGGTTCTCAATCAAGACTGTTGTGGTTTCCCTGTTTCTCCTGTCCTCGGTTGGTTCTTCTTGCTCCTCAGATGCTCGGAAATGCTGCTGTCAAAGTACTCTGTCGTATGCGGCTCCTTCGTTGAGAAGGTTCATGGCAGCCTGGTACCGAGCTTGAGTCTAACTTGCCTCGAGCTGCTGCTGCTGCTGCCGTGCGGCTGCTGCAGAGTCGGCAGCGGCCTGCTGACGTGCTGCCTGTTTCGCTTCTTGTTGGAGTCAGATGGCTTCCCGTCGGGCGGCATTTTCCTTCTCCCATGTGCGGAGTTCGGTGGCATTGGTCTCCGTATACTGTTGGATTCGCTCGAGAAACGCGAGTGCGTCTTCATCTGCCCGTTGAACTGCCACAGAAGGGGGAACCGGCCTCTTGGGACTGCCTGGCATGTTGTTGTCGGTGTGGCTGGCTGCTGCAGCCATGGTTGTGCGTCGCCTGCGCGGGCTCTGTGGTGCCTTGGGTCCCTGTTGGGGCTTGGCTGCCTTGGATTCGCGATCTGCCAATCGTTGGCTGCGGCGCATTTAGTGTTCGGCTGCATGTTGCTGCTGACATGGCACTCTGCTGATGTGGCACTCGGCTGACGTGGCACTGGACGTGTCACTCTGCTGACGTGTCACTCTGCTGACGTGTCCAGAGACTGCAGTCTGTAGGACCGAGAGGAGGAAAGAGAAGGTAGGGGTGGGAAGAAGGGAGGGCAGGCAAGCAATGCACAGACAGTCCCGTTCCCCCTTGACCTTGACACTAATCAAGAGAAAAATTTCCCTCCCCACCCGACGAATTTTTGAATTTCGGAAAATTAAATAAAATTTTAATCGAAAAATAGGAATTGTTATGACCCTGGCCAATTTCGAGATACACATCCACTGAAAAGTACAATGCCATCCAATTGCAGAAAGAAATGAATGAACTTGAGAGGAGAGAGAGGAGTAGAAGAAGAAGAAGAGGTAAGAAAGAAGAAGAAGAAGTTGTACACCAGCAAAGACAATGACAAGGCTCTTCTTCTTCGCCCAACAATCTCCTCCTCCTTATCTCCCCCCTTCTCTTATTCATACAAGAAATAATAATACAATGTTGAATGACTGGTCCATAATCATGTCCGAGTCCCTTTTCTACTGCAGGTATCACTCAAGGTCCACCATAGCCATGGCCGCCTCCCCCACTCTTCACACACATAGGCCGAGGCTATGGCGGACTACGAGGCCTTGCTCCGATGTCCAAAGGACAACGCAGAGCAGCTATGGCTGCCCCAGCTCAGGCCGCCATGCCCAGCCCTCCCTTGAAGCTTCGTGGTGTAGCTCCCCCCGGCTGGGGACTCCTTGCAGCAGCGCCCACCAAGGTGATGAAGAAGGCTGCCACCATAGCCAGGTAAGTACCCCTGGCGCTCCTCCCCCTTCCTCCTTCCTTCCTCCTTCTTCCTCCCTCTAGTCCTTCTTTTTCCTCCCCAGCAGCGCAGCTCCAACCCAGCGCTGCTCCCTCCAGCGCTCCACTAGTGTTTCTCCAAACTTGCACACCGAAAAAGAGGCCGGATCTTCCCACCGGCCGGAAGATATAGCGGCCTGTTTTGCCTCTTGGGCGGTGACTTCCAGGCCGCTGGCCTTCCCAAGCAACCGGTACCTCTTCCTCCTTTTGGAGGGAACATCATTGCCGACTTTGATATTGCCCCTACAGGCCCTAGACTCAGACTGGTATCCGCTAGACCTAGCCTACACTACCGGCCTCTGAAAATGCCACTTTTGTCTTCTTCTGCTCGGCCTCCGGTACCTGCATATTTACCCCCCTGCCGGGTGCGGTACCGGCCTACCCGCTACTTGAGTGCTTTTTCCCTGCTGCAACCCTTCGAAGCCACGGCCACAGGTAAGTACCGGCCCTGAGGGCCCAACGAACGAACAAGTGCCCTCGCGGGCCACACACACACACACTCATATCAACCAGCACTCAGACAGGCACGGTCACACACGCAAGCCAACCAACACTTAGACAGACATGTAGTCCAGCAAGCACACACACACACAGACTTAGCAGGCGCGGAACTCAGTAGGGCATTCAGTCTATGAGCAAAACTCAGAAATCAGCTGTGTGTTTCAGTCCGTGTTTGGACGGGTTATCACAAAATTATTAAAATTTTAATTTCGCCAAAAGATTAAATATTAACGAATATTTTCATTTGCAATAATGAATTTCACAAACGTTAAATAATTGATCAAGAATATTTAAATTTGCATCAATAAAAGAAATGAGTAAGTTTAAGCAAGTTTAAACATTTAGACGTAACTTTCAAAATTTTCACGAAATTTCGTCGGAAGAATTTAGCATCATCACGAGGTCACTCATTTTTGTAGAGGTGAATGGTAACAGGAAGAGACACAATTTGCTGGAAAGATTCAACCTTTCAAATGCAAAAAGATGCAGTTTGCAAAAAGTGAAAGTTCCGTGAAGTTGCAGTTCGAATATGGCCTTGCTCAGGCCCGATCAGCCTTGATTGGCGCGGTGCCTGGCCGACACTTACTTCCTATAGGTTAGGTAGGTCGTTAAGATTAGGTTAGGACTAACCCTAATTAGCGCTAATTAGGTTTACTCGTAATTAGCAATTTTGCGATATGGAGAAATGTCGCAAACCTAAAATTATTCCTTAACGACCTAATTAACCATGAAAGTACGAGAAAAAGAAAAAAAATTGCAACTTGTGATTTAATTGTGAGGATTGAGCCCTCAAGAAGGGGCCTTGCCATGATGTACATGTTCTGGGCTAAGGCCCCAGCAAGCCTCGTGCCCGCCTTAAGTGAAGGCGGGCCAGCAAATCAACAAGAGCCCTCTGTGCAAACATTTCACGAAGTGGGGTCCATACAGTTGCAGCACGCCAGTTGGTTGGAGTGCACCGAGTATCGGAGCTCTCGAAATGCAGAAATCCCAGGGCCCCATAGTTGGTTAGGCCTTGGGCACATAAACGTGAGGCCGACAATGCATGCTCGATATAGAGGCCGAAAATGCCAATGGGAAACCGATCCACTATCAGAACCTGGCCGCAGGCCTTGATGAAAGAGGCGCAACTGCATCTCCTGGGCCCCAACCGCATTCGGCCTGGGTACAGGTACTGGGGCCCAGGCGCAGGCTCAAGGGAGGCCGTCCACACTCAACACTGGCATATAGGCAGGGAGGGCGAGTGGGCAGGGATCTTGGCCATTGCGAGCAAGGCCGGCACGCTGCTGCGTTTGCGAGTGTGCTGCGCTGCGCTAGGCTGAGCAGGGCACACTGGCGCTAAGCGGTAGAGCGCTGCCTGGGCGCAGGGCGCTGGCGGCCATAGCCGGGCTTCCTGTGGGCGAAGGTGGTTCTTCGGAGGTGAAGGGCGCTGTGTGGGATAACAAGGGAGAGTGAGGGTGAAGAGTGGGAAGTACTTGGTGGAGAGGAGGTCGGCATTGGTGTTGACATCATCACTCGCTGGTCGTCAAGTTGTCTGGTTGCTTCCATGCTGTAGTTGTAGTGATAGGCTGTAGAGTAGGTAGGGCGCCTGGCGCCATTCAAGAGAGAGAGCTACGTTGGGTTATGCTGTTGGTGTTGCCCGATTGGGCTTGGACATTGACTCATGATTCTTCTGTATCGTTCTCAAATGGATGGTTACTCGGTTCCATTGTGCTATCTGCTCTTGCTTTGACTACTTGGACTTAAGTGTGATTTTGAAATTTGGATTTCTGTGCTTCGTCCACATTCATGTTCCTTGCATTTTGGTATCGGAGCTGGTTCGATTCGCCACTTACCTTGGTGTGCTGGCGTTATACAAATTTGGTGCGTTGACGATGCTTCTTCACAGTTGCTACTTGTGACGTTAGGCCATATTAGGCGCACGACCTGGGTAGAGAGGTGTGCGCCGGAAGGCTATACGACATTGGATGCCGTGGTTACAACGGAATGTATGATTGCTGATGAGAGCATGCTGATGTGGCATTAAGCTGAGGTGTCACTTCATTGCGTTGTGAGTGGTACCGAGGCTACGACCGCTCATCAAATGCACACTCTGCTCAATTGGTGAGAAATCTGTGGTTGGGGGCAGCTATCTCCAGGTACGTTGTTCCCTTACCTTATCTACTCTCTCAATCTCTTCTTACCGTGAGGAAGTGAGTCCAATGTAGACAGTCTTTTGTGAATGTTGTAGGCTACCACTTGATCGGTCAAGTAGGGGACCTGCCGGACACAATTATTTTTAGAAAATTAGGTGTCGGTCAGACACATGCTGTGGTAGGACTCCAGCATGGAGTTGAAGTGCAGATAGTGTTTGCCTAACTGATGAGCGGGTCAGACACCGATGAGGGTAGAGTTGACAATGCGAGATTGACACGTTCGAGATCACTTAGGGTCCCACACGTGTTCCAGACCCTACAATCAGGAGACGAAGCACGACTTCGTGCCGAACGTAGAGCCCGTGCTCTTGCAACAGCGAGGGCAGCAGCAAACCTAGCAGCTAGAGAACAGGCAGCAACAGCCAGAGCAGCAGCAATGGCTAACGGCGCAGCCTCTGCTGCATCCTCGTCAGGGACCCTGTTGGGAATGCCCTCAGGGCCCGCGGGTACTTCCGGATCAATAGGTGCTGGACAGTCCACAAGTCAAATGGCGGGCTCGCAGTTAAGCCCGTTGACCCCACGCGGCAGGGAGCTCGTAGAGCTTCAACAGGTCGAAAGGATCCGCGAGCGGTTAGAGAGGGAACTGAAGCAAGCTACCGAGAGAGAAAGAGAGATTAAAAATAGCCAGGCTTGATACGTCAGAGGCAGACAAAGCTGCATTAGAGGGTTTGGATGAGTCAGCCATGTCTGACCAAATGAAAATATTGAAGAACAGTATGTTGTCGCTGCATGCGCATGTGGACAGCAGACTAGATTTCATGCAGAACTCTTTGGACCAGATCTTGGACCTTTTGCAAAGGCCAGGATTCCGGCCAGCAGCACAGTCGCCGTTGCCGTTAACGACGATGTCAGACCCCTTTATGGAACAAGCTGGCACACAGCCAAGTGGTACGTCTGCAACAGCCGCACAAAACGTTGCTTCTTCTTCTTCTGGGTCAGCGGTGGTTGCTACACCATCACCGCAACAACCTGTTCCTCAACAGGGACAGCAGCAAGGTCAATGGTACCCAAAGACCCCTATGAAACCGCCCCTTGCCTTCTCCGGAGAGAAGAAGGATAAGGAACTCAACACATGGTTGAGAACGGTTCCAATGTGGGTAAAGGCAAAGAGGACTTTGCAGGAGGAGGAGGTGATTACTGCTGCATCTTACCTTGAGGGTAAGGCAGCCAAATGGCTAGATGGATTAGTAGCAAAGGCCGGGTACGGACGAATGGCAGACTGGGCTAAGACCCTTACGTTAGAACGGTTCTTGGAAATGATAGAAGATCGCTGGCACAATCCACAACAGACACAAATTGCCACTGATGCGATGCATAGACTAGACCAACGAAAGTTCAAGTCAGTTAGAGAGCTAACAACTACCGTAGAGAGCCTTATCGTAGTTCTCGGCATACACTACGATGACCAGGTCTTATTGACCATGTTTGTGAGATGTCTCCCAGAGAATCTCAGGAACTTAATAGCCAGTGAGGCTCGCCTCGAGTATCACTCGTTTGAGACATTATCTAGAAAAGCCTTAGACTTAGAGGCTACTCTAGGAAGTGCTCAACCTACTCAAGTCGACACAAGGAAGAAGAAGAGTCCACAGGAATGGAAGAAGAAGGGGAGCAAATTGATGATGGTTGAGTCCGATGGGACTCAAACTGAGATCGAAGAGCTCACAGACCTGTTGGACTATTCAGAGTACGACGGCGAGGAAATCGCTAAGGGTAGCACCCTCACCGCAGTTGTAAAGACTAAGGTCGGTGGCTGAGGGAAAGGCCATCAAAAGAGTCAAGGGCAGGCCGCCTCCATTCAGACCAAAGTTGCTGATTGGGTCAAGGCAGGTCTTGATCAAGAAGTGTGGCGGGACCGCCGAGTGCGTGGCGCTTGCATTAACTGTGGTGAATACGGACACACCCAGTATAAGTGCAAGAATGCAAAGGTCACGCAGAAGATACCTCCTAAGATGGGGGCACCTTCTTCCCAGGCTTCTTGCTCGAGAAACACATAAGGCCGGTGGAAGTATTAGCTGCTTCTACTCAAGGTGAAGTGGGTCAGATACCCTCCCCACTTCATGAGCCGGTTGAGTCTTGATCCATTTGAGGGTCTGATGGTCAGTTCTCAAATAGAAGAATCTTCCCAATAGGAAGTGCCTCCAGTGAACAAGTGCTTTGTAGAGAGCATAGAGTTCCCTCTCATAGGTCGACTTTGCCAGTTTCTTTGATGGCATTTTCTTGCTCATGTACTCAATCGGCCTCAACTTCTTCCGATCCTGCTGAGCCAGTACTGCGCCAATGCCATATTGGCTTGCGTCAGTGGTTACGATGAAAGGCTTCTGAGGATCGGGCACCATGAGAACCTCATGATTCATGAGTACATGCTTCAATTGTTTGAAAGCAGCCTCGCACTCATCACTCCAGTCCCACGGCATGTCAAGTCGAGTTAGATCAGTCAAAAGAGAAGCGACTGTAGAATAGTTCTTTACAAAGTTCCTATAGTAGCCGCACATTTCTAAGAAAGATTTGACCTCAGTAACAGTCTGAGGTCGTGGCCAGTCCCTGATACTAGCCACCTTCGCATCTTCCGGCCTAATACCATCCGCAAATACTTCATGACCCAAGTATAAGATCTTAGTGCGTCCGAACTCACATTTCTCAAGGTTGACCTTATACTTGTGCTGCCGTAAGAGTGAAAGTACAGTCTCAACGTGTTGTGCATGTTCTTCAACAGACTTACTAAAGATAAGAATATCGTCAAGGTAGACTACGACAAACTTATCTAAGTGGTCATGGAGGATCCTATTCATGGCGTGCTGGAATGTACCCGGCGCATCGCAAAGGCCAAAGGGCATCACTACAAACTTACACAGACCGTATCTGGTCTGAAAAGCAGTCTTGTGCTGATCCTCAGTCTTATTGCAATCTGATGGTAGCCGGATTTTAAGTTTATCTTGCTATAGTACTTACATCCCTGCACCCTATCCAATAGGTCGTCTATGCGAGGTAGAGGCTCTGCGTTCTTTACTGTGACGTGCAAGGAACATGAATATGGACGAAGCACAGAAATCCAGAATGCAAAATCACACTAAAGTCCAAGTAGTCAAAGCCAGAGCAGATAGCACAATGGAACCGAGTAAGCATCCAATTGAGAATGACACAAAAGAATCGTGAGTCAATGTCCATGCCCAACAGGGCAACACCAACAGCATAACCCAATGTAGCTCTCTCTTATGAATGGCGCCAGGCGCCCTATCTACTCTACAGACTAAGCCTACAACTACAGCAATGAAAGCAACCAGACAACTTGACTTCCAGTGAGTGATGATGTCAACACCAATGCCGACCTCCACCTCCACCAGGTACGTGTCCTCTTCACCCAGACTCTCCCTTGTTACCCACACAGCGCCCTTCACCTCCGAAGAACCACCTTCGCCCTCACCTCCCCTGCGCCCGCCAGCAGCCCGGCTATGGCCGCCAGCGCCCTGCGCCCAGGCAGCGCATCACCGTATTAGCGTTGTCTGCCTCCCTCTTGCCTAACGCAGCTTTACACAGCGCAGCACACCCGCATTCGCGCAGCATGCTGGCAATGCCTGCATTGGCCAAGGATCCCTGCCAATTGCCCTGCTTGCCTATATGCCAGTGTTGCGTGTGGGCGGCCTCCCTTCAGCCTGCGTCTGGGCCCTAGTGGCTGAACGCAGGCCCGATACAGTTGAGGCCCGGGGCATGCAGTTGCACCTCTTTCATCAAGGCCTGCGGCCAGATTCAGATAGTGGGCCGATTTCCCTTTGGCATTTTCGGCCTCTCTACCCAGCATGCATTGTCAGCCTCACGTTCAAGTGCCCAGGGCCTAACTAACTCAGAGGCCCTGGGATTTCCACATTTGCTGAGATCCCAGACTCGGTGCACTCCAACCAACTGGCGTGCTGCAACTTTATGGACCCCACTTCGTAAAATGTGGGCACAGAGGGCTCTTGTTGATTTGCTGGCCCGCCTTCACTTAGGGCGGGCATGAGGCTTGTTGGGGCCTTAGCCCAGAACATGTACATCATGGC